TGGAGGACCGTAATTTATCCTGTTCTGACACCCGGCTTCGTTCAGCCTCGCACTGCGCGCCACCACTGCCGCCGCGCTGTAGCCACAGGGGCCGCCCGTGCCAGCCCGCGAGGCCTCGGGTACCCAGCCCCGGCCAGGCCCTGCCGCCGCTTTCCAATCAGTTCGCTGCTACTCCCGTGGGTCACACGAGACAGATGAGGAGTTTGATGCTCGCTGGGTGACATACTTCAACAAGCCAGATATTGATGCCTGGGAATTGCCTAAAGGGATGAACACACTAGTTGGCTATGATCTGGTTCCAGAACCCAAAATCATTGATGCTGCTTTACCGCACGCAGTTACATGATTTTGCTAGTGCAGTTCGCATCCTAGAGGTTGTGGGTTTTGTTTGTTTATTCATGAGAGACACACACACACGGGGGGGGGGGCAGAGACACAGGCAGAGGGAGAAGCAGGCCCCACGCAGGGACCCCGATGCGGGACTCAATCTTGGGTCTCTATGATCACGTCCTGGGCTGAAGGCGGCGCTAAACCGCTGAGACACGGGGCTGCCCCCGCATCCCAGAGGTTGTTAAGGACAAAGCAGGACCTCGTAAGGAAATCTACCCCTATGTCATCCAGGAACTTAGACCAACTTTAAATGAACTGGGAATCTCCACTCCAGAGGAACTGGACCTTGACAAAGTGTAAACCCCATGGATGGGCTTCTCAAGGATTTATTCATAATGCTACTTGATTGTAAATAATCACCTGGAAATACTGATGATAACATATTACCTTATTTGAACAAGTTTTCCTTTATTGAGTACCAAACCATGTAATGGTAATTTGGACTTTAATAAAAGGGAAGTGAGTTTGAACTGAAAAAAAAAAAAAATGAATCCTATTCTGTTGATGAAACTTAAATATATTATATTTTATATTTTTTATAAATATATATATTTAAAGATTTATTTATTCATGAGAGACACAGAGAAAGAGTCAGAGACATAGGCAGAGGGAGAAGCAGGCTCCATTGCAGGGAGCCTGATGTGTTACTCGGTCCCAAATCCTGGGATCACGCCCTGAGCTACCAGGCATCTTTAATATATATTTTTATATAACATATAAAAAAATAATAAAATATAAATATATATGTATATATATTTAGTTCCTACTACAATTCCAGGACTGTTCTATATATGAATAATACAAAGTCCCTGTCCTGATGAGATTTCCATTTTGCAAATAATGCTTCAGTGGATATTCTTGTACATTTTTACACATATATCAGACAAAAATATTTCTGTAACAAATTATATAAGAATTAAACATTTTTTTAAAAAAGATTTCATTTATTTATTCATGAGAAAGCCAGAGAGAGAGAGAGGTAGAGACACAGGCAGAGGGAGAAGCAGGCTCCATGCAGGGAGCCTGACATGGGACTCGATCCCGGGTCTCCAGGATCACACCCTGGGATGAAGGTGACGCCAAACCACTGAGCCACCTGGGCTGCCCAAGAATTTAAAATTTTGATAAATAAACATAATAGGCCATGAATTAATGCTAGTTGAATAAAGGAATAAAGATTGCTCTCTAAAGCTAAATTATAAAATTAATAATTAGCAGATATTTTATTTGGGGTGCAAAGTGATTACAATTTTAAAAATTAGTTTCTAACATTAAAGGAAAGGGGTTAATTGGGGTGCCTGGGTGGCTCAGTCAGGTAAGTGTCTGACTTTGGCTTAGGTCATAATCTCAGGGTCTGGGGATAAGCACTATGATGGACTCTGCACTCAGCAGGGAGTCTGCTTCTCTCTCTGCCCCTTCCCCCACTTGTGTGGATACTCTCTCTCTCTAATACTTTTTTTTAAGGAGTTAGCTAAAATGAAGACTTTTGTCATCTCTTGGAAAATCAGAAGGTCTGGTAACATTGGGTCCACATTTGTTCAGGGCAGCTGGAGCCAAGTGAAGAGTGAGCAGTGGTTTGCCATGGTCCTCACCATCCTGTACTGTTTTATATGGCCACTTTACTCATTTATATTACCTGCCTGACTCCTATAACTTTTGAACATGATGTTATCAATTATGAATAAAAAAGGTATGTAAAAGACACAGAATGACTCTCAGGCCTGCAGTCTTTACCAATGACCTCATACAATATATTAATTCATTAATACAACAATTTGTGTCTTTCAGAAAAAGGGTTGGTCAGCTTGGAAGCATAGAAAAAGTAGATTCGGCAGGTGAATCATGACATTGTCCTTCCAAACATATTGGAAATAGGATATTTTAGCCAAATACCCAGCTGACTATTTCTATAACTAGTATAGAAGTTATGGGCATTTACTTCAGAGCTAGACTGCCTGGGTTTGAAATCTGGTTCTGCCACTTACTCCCTGTAGGACTTTGGGCAGTGCTATGGACTGGTGTTGAAGACCTAAAACTCAATGTGATGGTATATAGAGGTAGGAGCCTTTAGGAGGTAAGTAGGTCATGACATTGAGCCCTCATTAATGGGATTAGGATTTATAAGAAGAGACTCTTTCTACCTTATAAGAATGCAGCAGTCTGCAAACCAGGAAGAGAGCTCTCACCAGAACCTGACCAACATGGCATTCTGAGCTTGGACTTCCCAGCCTCCAGAACTGTAAGAAATAAATGTCTGTTGTTTAAGCCACTGGGTTATGGTATTGTTTTTTAAAGCAGCCCAAACTGACTAAGATAAGCAGGTTGTTTAACATCTTTCTACTCAGTTTCCTCAACTATAAATGGGAATTAAATGTATCTTACTTCATTGGTTTGCTGTGATATTTAAATGAATCTATACATAAAACACCTACAAGAGAGCCTATCCCATATAAGTTGCCATTACTAATATAGATGGATCAGATACTCATATAATGATGCCCTTACATTTAAGCTCCAAATATTACCTAATTCCTTTTTTTTTTTTTTTCCGTAAATTCTTATCAAGTAACCTTCTGATGGCTTCCTATATACTCTTGACTTCGGGGAGATGTATTGGCTTAAGACATGAATTCTCTCAAGGACTCTGAGAATAACTACCTGCAGCATTTTTTATTTGATTATCTGAGTCTTTATCAATCAGTGCATCACTGAGATGTGCTGCCAAGGAAGCAGAATTTAGTGACAGCTTGCAACTTTTATTACCAGCAACAGTGTTTGGCTATGGAGAGTTTCTCTTAAGTAAACTGGCAAGGGATTGAAATTATTTTGAATTTGATTTTCTGTTCACCTATTTTGTTGGCTATACAAATTAATCCATAGTCATTCATAAGTTAGAGTTTGAGACTGCAGGAAGTGCGCTCACAATGCCTTATTTTTTTAATTTTTAAATTATTTATTCATGAAAGACAGAGAGAGAGAGAGAGAGAGAGAGAGAGAGAGGCAGAGACACAGGCAGAGGGAGAAAAGCAGGCTCCATGCCAGGAGCCTGATGCGGGACTCGATCCTGGGACTCCAGGATCATGCCTCGGTCCAAAGGCAGGCGCCAAGGCGCTCAGCCACCCAGGGATCCCCTCACAATGCCTTTAAAATGTGTATGTTGGGCAAGTCATTTCAGTATACAATAAAAGGAATCACTTCATATGGATACAAAATCTATTAACTTGTTAACATTGACTGGGCTGCAGTAACCTTTATATTATCCATATATAACACTCTGCTTATAGAGGCTTTGCTAAACCAACTTTTCTTGAAGCTTGAGCAAAATACTTCTAGGCAAATGGATATTACTAATCAAAAATAAGTTTTCCCTATTAACTTATGAGTCCTCTTAAAGACACTGTCAGGATTCAGAATTAGTATGCTACTATATTCAGGATGAATATATTTGTTTTGATATAAAGGAAAGCATTTCTTTTAAAATACTATTGTTTATTATTTAGATTTTTTACAACCTCAGATTGACTCTCCTTCAAATACTATTCTAAGTTTTAAAGAACTCTTCATTCTACCTTTCTAACTCCAACAGGACACCATGTGAAACGGGTAGGGTAAACATTCCTGCTCCTCATCATGTGATTCTGTGAAAGTCATTTTGTATCAGTGTGGTGGCCATGGGGGTGAACCACTCAGATACCCTTGCAAAAACACCTGCTGTGGGAAGCACACATGACTGACACCTTTCAACAGCCATACTTTCAGATCCACTGTGGAGTTCACAGCACTCCATGCCTCCCAGATTGAACACAGAAGGCATGCTAACTGGCTTTTCTGGTCTCCCAAACCTGGGCTAGAAGTGCTAACTCTATAGGCACAGAATCCTATATAGCACAACATTCATAAAAATACCAGTTTCACAGAGAATGAAGTATAGAAATGGCCCCATATCTATGAGATCCAGTTGTTACATCATAAACGGTACTACTGAAACTGTGTACTATGAAACTACCGTCATACAGTACTGGAAAGGGTACTAAAGTATATCAGCTAAATCAGCTGTTCAAAGACAATACTCAACAATGATGGGGCGTAATCCTTCAGTGTATATAGTATAGGCACTAAATCAGAGATCTCTGTATGGCACTATGTTTCTAATAGGAAAAATATATGGATCTGGCAACCAAGTGGTGAAAGCCAGATGGTCTCATTTACAATCACTCCCAATAACCCACGGGGAACACTCTGCTTCACCTCCCACAACTCTGGGCTGAGCAGAGTTAGAAATCCTAGTCTTCGAGGTTTTCTTTCTTGCCAGGGGGCACAATAGTGATCTACTGAAATAGAAGATATTTTGTAATAGGGCACTTTTAACCCTTTGCACCTAGGGGCCAGCAACCAAGGATAATTGACTTATTAGTGAGAAGAGATGGGGCTCCTTTCACACAGTAGAGAGAAAGAATACATATGGAGCCCAGGTCATCCACTTGGATGCCCCTTGGGATGCCCCTGCCCAATGGTAACTGTGAATGGACACATGCAGTAACTGCAGACTAAGAAGGGTATGATATGATGACTCAAGTCTATGACCCCTTAGGAATAAATGGTTAGGTCATTATCACATCCATTCCTCAATTCCTTTTTTCCAGCAATAAGAATATCTTCTTTATTCCAGGTTCAGGGAGGGGACTTACTATAAGGGAGTTTTATTCCCTGCTTTCAGGAATTAAAAAAAAAGGAGGGTCAGAGTGCCCTTCCTACATCTACTGCTTCTCAGGTGCATTTAGTACAAAATAATCAGTATGTCGAAGCAGCGCATTTTGAGGTGACATGCTCTGAACTCCTCCTATCTTGCTACCTTTGTGAGGTCCAACTGTTCCCGCTGCTCACTGCTGTCAATCTTTCAAACCTGTCCTCATTCTAGCATTTACCTGTCGGGTTCAACTTGGGGGCTCCTGTCATATGCATTACATAGCTTGTTACTTTCAAAATATGCCATCTTGTAGTGTGAATATCTAATGCACTTATTTGTCTTATATCCCAACTAGACTGCAAACTCTTTAAATACTTGACTCATTTGGTGAACATCCACAAATGTGTAATTTTTAAAAACGCATCATTTTGGACGCTGAAACTGGTATGCACAGTCACCACTGTAGTCACTGGAGTTAATGAGAATATTATAGTGTAATTAAATTGAATGATCATTATGTACTGGGCATAATTTTAAATTTCTTACAGGTTTAATTCATGAGATTGGAATCATCCTTCACGGTTTGCTTTCTCTCACATCCCGTCTCTAATCCATCCAACTCAATCGACTCTACCTTGAAGAGAGAGAGACCTGGACTCCTCCTCCTTGTCACCGAATTGACTCGCACCATCCTGGTTCCAGGCTCCATCATATACCTCCTCACTAGTGCAAGAGACTCCTCATCGGTGTAGTCTTTTTAAAGTGTTAAGTCATACTTTTCTGTTCAAAACCCTGTGGCGGTCACGGACTTCACTCAAAGTAAACAGCAGTTCTTTGTGTCCTACAAGACCCTATGTGATCTTCCTCGTCCCTCCATCACATGAACCCCATCTCCGGCTTCCTGCCTTGTTCGCTCTGCTACCACCACACCCGCCAGCCCTGTTCTTGCACCAACACCTAACAGATGCAGGGCCTTGGCTCTAGCTTTTCCTCCTGCCTGGAGCACACCCTAGTCACCCACAGCTAAGTGTCCTCTTTTAAGTTGGCTGATTCTCACCTTCCCAGTAGGTCCTACCTCGCCTTTCCCCCCTACTCCCTGAGTCCTTCCCACTTCCTGAATGCTTTCAGTCTCTATTTTCTTTTTCCATACCACTTATCACTTTTTTTTTTTTTTTTTAACATCCCAAAGAACTTTTCTTTTAACCTGCATATTGTCTGCTCTACCCACCCGATGTAGACGCCAGGAGGCTGGGGATCCCTGGTTTTATTCACGGATGTATCCCAGAGCCCAATCAGTGCCTGGTACAGGAGAGGCATTCAATAAACAAACAGCTAGCGAATTAATTTGGAAGCTAGCGTTTCCTTCTGCAAGGCCAGTGCTCTTCCGGGAGGGGCCTTCTCCGGCTTCCTGGCTTCTGCACAACGCATAAGGGCCAAGGGAGCTTCGCGGTCAGGAGGCTACGTCCAGATTTCGGTTGACAGGGCAGAAGCAATGTAAGGTGAAACCAAACAAAACAAGACACTGCAGGGTGCCGTGCGTTTCTTGCAGGTGGCCGAGGAGGTAAAGGCCAACTTCTTCTCCCCCTGCATGTTCAAAGGGCGTCGGTGCGCGCACACTAACTCGGACCGTTCTCCTCCCGAAACAAACGCCACCGCCGCCGCCCGGGGTCCTCAGCCCTCAGCCGCGCGGCCCGTGCCCTTCCCCGGGCAGCTTCCGGGCCCTCACTTAGGTGGTCAGGCCGTGCCCGAGCATCCTTGTCGGCCAGGCCAGGAGGTCTCGCCGTCGCAGGGACAAGACGGCGATGCAGAGCCGCGCCGCGCCCAGGAGTCCCGCAGGCAGCCGCGCGGGGGGTGGCGCGGGGCGGCGGACACGGCGGCGGACAGGCAGCGACACGGCCGCCCGCGCGAGGCCCCGGGGCACGTCACAGCGGCACGACGACTACCCCCCGGCCCCGCCCACGCCCGCCGCACGCACGCGCACTGCGCCCGGCATGAGGGTCGCTGCTCTGATCAGGTAACGCGGCGCCGCGGCGGCCTGCCTGCGCCCCTGCCGGCCTCCCGTCCTTTCCTGCTCGTCGGCGGCGGCTGCGTGGACGAGCGACTGTGCGGGGAGACACGGGGTTGTCAGGCTGTCGCCCCGCCGGGCGTGGCTCGCGGCCGGCCCTGCGCTCGCGCTCCTCCCCGCCGGCCCGGCTCCGCCTCTCGAGTCGTCGGGCCTCAACCTCGGAGTCGGCCTGGCGGCGTTAAAACCCAGTCCTGGGTCTCCTGCCGGAGCGCTGGTTGCACGACTCTGACCCGGCTCGGGGTCGCATTCTTAGAAAGTGTGCCAGGCCCTGACGCTTGAGAGCCCCGGCTTCGCTCCCCGTAGCCCCGTCCGTGGGTCCTTCAGTCGTTCAGCGCTGCCTTCGGGTCCACCTATTTCCCGAAGCTCTGAGTAGCCCCAGCCCCCCGCTGGAGGCCGCCCCTCCGCCCCTCCCCCCACCTGCCTCTGGGTTGCTTGGGACCAAGGTGTGTGATGCCTTGGTCCTAAGTACAGAGTACAGGAAAGGGGGTCTCTTCCCTCGGGATGGAAATGGGCTTGTGTCACTTTTAGCCTAAATCCAGTTGCATTGGCTACAGACAACTTCCAAGTGCTTTTGGATTGACCCTGGTCTATTCCGAAAGAAGTTTGAAATCTCCATAGTGCACCGTATTTAGGTGTCTAAAGTAAGTCCTCAGATAACCAAAGACAGGCTACTTTAAATGTTTCCACATGCAACCTGTAAAAGTGAAGCAGAAGCAAATATGGTGACATTAAAAAGAAATTAGACTGCAGTACTTGCACATTTATTTGATGAGATTTGGACCTGTATGGAGTATCTGAGATACACCACAACCGTGTTTGCTTCCCGTAAGCACGTTGGAGATTCCTTTTTTTTTTTGGGGGGGGGGGGGACACTGCTTTATTTATTTATTTTTTAATTTTTATTTATTTATGATAGTCACACACACACACAGAGAGAGAGGCAGAGACACAGGCAGAGGGAGAAGCAGGCTCCATGCACCGGGAGCCCGACGTGGGACTCGATCCCGGGTCTCCAGGATCGCGCCCTGGGCCAAAGGCAGGCTCCAAACCGCTGAGCCACCCAGGGATCCCCACGTTGGAGATTCCATGAACGTTTTTTTTGTTCAGTGTCCTAGTGAGTTGACACTGGCTGACAATAGTGACCTGTTAAGAACTCTGGAAGTGACATTCTAATGCCTGCTGCAGTGACTGGGATATTCCGATTTATTTTATTTCAGTACCATGTTTTGGACTCTACAACGTCAGAATTGTTATTCAGCAAATGTCTTCTGTTTCCGACCCCTGTGGTCTTTGTTTGATAAAATAGACAATAATAAAAAGTAGCCCAGGAAATAAGTAATTCACACCACATGCAATTTGCCAGAAGTCGAGCGGTTGAAGTAAGACACACCAACCAAAGATTCAGATCTTTGAAGGAAGGATAGAAGATTGCTGTAGTCCATTATAGGGAATATTCAGTAATGTGCATATATTACTCATAAAAAAAAGCAAATTACTTAAAAATGGCAATGTTGGAAAATTCTTGCTGAACTGTAAGATCTGTATTAATGTTAGGAGACGTGCTATGAGTATGAATCTATAACGATTTTTAAATATGAATGTGAGTGCCTATATACACTTGAATATATACGAATTTAAACTTGAATACAGTGAATCCACTTCTAATATATCTTGTGTGTGTACTAAAATGGGAGATGGAATATGTTTGTGTGCTTTAAAGAATAAGTGAAACCAAGATTCTCACATATCTTTAGCACAGAAATAACATTATTCTCCCTAATAACACAAAAGGTTGAATTATTCAATTTTATAGTTGAATGACTCCTTGAAGATTAAACCATTCTCTAGTTTTATAATGAAGCATGTACCTAAGCACACTGAGTAACTTTGCATATTATACCAGAGTTGGGAACTAAAATTCTGATATTTTGTAGGACTTCTCACCTAACATATTGCTTATGTACTTTGTAATGTTCTGAGAGGTAAGTTGCTCAGCATTTCCCAAACCTTTTTTTCTTACATTATTTGTTGGACAGTAGTGTTCCATAGAACACACTTTGGGAAATACAATTTTAATACCATATTTGAAGTTTTAACATTTTCAAATGAATTATAAAGCTAAGTTCTGGTTGTGTATGTATACCCTTTAATCTTTAATATTCTAAAGAATTAGAGTAGTGGTTGTATACTCTTTAATTTTAAATATTCTAAATAGTCTAAAGAATTCGTTAATTTTTTATTTTATTTTCTTGTCCTGAGAAAATAGAGTAAAATTCAAATAGGCAAAGTCGTGGAAGACATATTAAGGAAATATCAGAGTCTGAGGAAAGGGAGCATGATGTATAACTTCACTATGCCTCTTGCGGTCTCCCCATGAGAAGTTCTGGAATGACAGTTTCTGATTGGAATGTAGTAGAGGCATATAAATGTCCGGAACTAAAGTAAAAGGCAAAAAGGGCCAGCTTCTAGGACAAGCAGTCTCTTCTGAAAAGTTTCTTAGGCTGTGAATATGTCTGACCGTTGCCTGGAGGTACATACACTTGCAGATTTTAGGTAAAGATTAGAACGAATGGGACAGGAGGAGGAAACAGAGAGGCAATGATAAAATAAAGGAAGAAACATGTATAGAGAGAAGCAATAGAATTTAAACCAAAATAGAGGTTGCCGTTCAACCTTGTTATAGATGAACTTGGCATAAAGGTTGCCATTCCATCTTGTTATAGTTGAAACTACTTCTCTTGACTAAGTGATCTGGCCCTACCTTCAGTAGATTTGGTCCTAGAATTTAGAAGTTTCTTTCAGTCTGTTTATTAGCTCTAAGGCTCAAGCTTTATCCTGCCATCATATATATGGTGACGGCTGAAGTACTGATGGGACTGATGTTTAACTTCATCAGTGTAATTCAGCCTTTTGTTTTCTATCTGTGCAGAATGTGAACCCACCAAGTATATCAGATTTGTCATTAGATTGGATCTCAAATCTTTAATCTGGGCCTTTAAGTTGGTGATGGTAGCAAATTTTTAGATTTCTTCTAGTAGAACAGAAGAGTTGTTTTTCCTACTTTTCCATAGAGAATTTCATCTAAGGAATATATGCAATACTTGTTTAGCTAGAATTTAAAATTAGATCTTTTTTTAAATTTTCAAAGCACTTTGTATATAAAGGAAAGCCACTATTATAAACCAAAGAATTATCATATTTTGTTTAGAATGATCTTTGTTATAATGGCACATATCTCTTGTGAGTAGTGACCTTAGACATTCAGATTCATTTGCTCAGTTTGCTTATGCTATGGAAATTATATGTGTTTTTTTTTCATTTTAATTGTGTAACAGTCCCTCAAGTATTCTGAAAAATTGAGTAGATATATTTTGATATCTAATGATTTTGTGTTTAATAATGGTCAGTAACCTGATATTTATGTTTTTATTTCTTTTTTAGTGGTGGGAAGGATAGCTGTTATAATATGATGCAATGCATTGTTGCTGGGCATCAAATTGTTGCTTTAGCAAATCTGAGACCAGCTGAAAACCAGGGTAAGTGTATACCTTTATTGAGAAGTTCTCTAAATGGCTGGAATTCCAAGTTCATAATTGCGTTCTATTGTGTGCAACATGCGAAGACGAAAAGGGAGCTAATACATATTTAGCACCTAAGTAGATGTTAGGTTCTCTGCTGTTTTTGATTACATATCCTTTATTTTTCATAAGAGCACCTGGAGATTTATGAGACAGGAACACTGAGAGTCATAGTTTTATAAATTTGTCCAAGGTAAATAGCTAGAACAAACTTGCAGAAATGAGACTTAAATCCTTGAATCTCCTTACTTCAGAATGTAATGCTGTTCCTTCACAACACATTTCCAAGTGTTTTAACCAACATACACTAAATAAGATACAACTTTCTGGAGCTTGGAAAGTAAGACACGTATTGATAAATGATCCATCTTTTGTGTAAGCTAAACATGTCAGACTTGAAAGAGGCATAAAGAAACACATTTCTGCTTTTTATTTGCTTGTCATAATAAGGACATCCACAAATAATCCTTAGACCTCATTTAAGCTATATTTTTCAGTTTTCTTCCCAGTGAAATTTTTTTCATCAGAAATTTTTCATCCCTGTCTCCTTGTCTGTGTCCAGGTTTCCTCTATAGATAAGGTCACAAGTCATATTGGATCAAAAGTCCACCCTAAGAATCTCATTTTAACTAAGTACATCTGCAATGACCCTATTTTCAAGTAAGATCACATTTTGAACTATGGAGGTTAGGATTCAACCTTCAACAATTTATTTTTTCAGGTCTGATTGACACATAGCATTGTATTAGTTTCAGCTGTACAACATAATGATTTGGTATCTGTATATATTGTGAAATGATTACCACAATAAGTTTAGTTAACATCTATCACCACACCTGGCCATACTTTTCCCCCCTCAATTAGAATTAAAAAAAAAACAATTCACCAATTTGCATTTTATATTTTTCTATTATACCCATATAACTATAGATATTAACTGTTAAGGTATAATAGGGAGAAATTAATACTTGTCTTGCCTTGATTTAATACTGCTTCTCCACATGGCTCTTTTAGTAAGATCTTTTTATCATCCCCCTTTACTCAGCTTTTTTCAAGACCGTGCTTTTGCTCTATTGTTATTTTAGGATGAATTAAATGAGTAGTATATGTGAAAACACTAATTAGAGTTTCTGGCATGAAGTAAGCATCCAGTAAATTTAGTTGAATCTGAATTTAGTGCTAAATATGTCCCTTTTTTCCTTCCTTCCTTCCTTCCTTCCTTCCTTCCTTCCTTCCTTCCTTCCTTCCTTCCTTCCTTCCTTCCTCAGGGCTGCCAGTCTGTTGAATTTTGTTTTTATATCATTTAACAGTTATTGTCTATTTATTTTGTCTTTGATTTTTATCCCCAAATAGATTGCTTATAAGATTCTTGAGAAGAAGGTCATATCTTGTATGTTTCTTTAATTGTTCCTCAGGACTTGGAACAGCTCTATGCCTCTAAGAGGCATTCACTCAGTTACTGGTGGACAGATGAATAATGAACTAACTAGAGTTAGGCCTGGAAGAGTGAGTAGTTATTTCAGCCAGAGATTTGAATTTTCTTTCCTTCATAATTAGGATCTATGTAATGCTAGAATTGAAGTGGGAAGATAGAGATTAGAAATGTTTTATAGGAAGAAATAGAAAACAGGTCTTCTAGGGGGTTAGGGGTAAACATACACTCTAGGACTTTGCACTAGGATTTCAGTGATAAATAAAAATAGCATTTTAGAAATGAGGTGTTTGGAAAATGACCTCCTTTTTCTGACTTTAAATAGAAAACTCCTTGATTATGGGTATGTGGGAACTATCCCATAACTACTATATTATTAAAATAAAAAAAGCAGAATTTTATTACTGGTTTATGTTCTGTTGCAAAAAGAAAAAAAATTCTTGTAGCTTATCAGGCAAGTGGGTTTTTTAATCTTTTTATCTGGGAGGTCTTGGTACTTAAAAAGGCAGAAGTTTATATAATATATAATCATACAGTGATATAATTTCCCTCCCTGGAATTTTGATCTTAAGCTTTTCTACTTGAATTATTACAGTTACTTTGTACTGAATCATTAATGTATAATCTTCCATGTACTCATGGTTCATTGGCAGGGTGGGTAAAATGATAAGCAAAGTGCATCTCTAAATTATACCTCAGAATGGTATGGAGACATTTACTTAGAATACTATTAATGAGAAAAAAAATCAATAGTAAATGGAATTAAAATATTATGAAATAAAAGCTGGAAAATCAACTGAAACTATAGTAATTGTAGTGAAAAACAATGGATGGTTGTGGGTTGGTAGATGGAGAGGGTTTAGCTAATCTTGATTTAAAGTCAGCAGGAAGTTGGGTGATTATTGACTGTTTCATTGATTGACTTCTTTCCCACCCATACATGTTGTAAAAGGAACCTTAATGAGTAATGACTGGTAGAGAGGACTCCAGTATAAAATTGGTTAGTGAATTCATGGCACTAGGTTTTCAGTGGGTAGTTTGGAAAGGAATTTATTCCCAACTCTGGGGATAATGTGAACTTGACATAAAATTCATAAACCATCTCTTTAAATTTGTTCTAAGAACTTTTGTGGCATGTTAATTGAGGTGCTTCAGGCAACAGTGGAGCCTTTGGTTTTATTTGATGTCATACCATTGTTGCAGTGTAAGTTCCATTAATACAAGTTACATTGTGGTTAGGACTAAATGGAGCCTTAAAGGAAGATTGTTTTCTCGGTGTTTGAAGTCAGTAATATGCTGTTGTTGTTTTTTTAAAGTCTTATTTATTTATCTGAGAGAGAGAATGAGAGAAAGAGACTGAGAGCACGTGAGTGAGGGGAGTGGCAGGGAGAGGGAGAGAGAGAATCCCAAGCAGACACCCCTCTGAAGTGTGGAGCCTGACAGGGCCTTGAGACCTGACAGGAGCTGAAATCAAGAGTCTGATGATCAACGGACTGAGCCACCCAAGCACCCCAGTCACTAAAATGTTTAATTGTGCTAACAGGAACTTCTCAAGAAGTTTCTTGCTGAGAGGCTCACTTCTTTAAATAGATTAATTCAGTTGTATCAATATTCTGTAAAACTGATACATTTAATTAAAGATCCAGTGTAAATCTGAGGTGAAGATAAGCTGAAAAGTTATTAGATGACTTTGGCTATATCTCTACTTCCTCCTGTGACCAGGAGTAGACAGATATGTAATAATAATGTGAGTACATGGAAGTCAGTCTGCTGTGTGCATCGGGTTCAGAGCTGGTGGGCTAAAATGTGATGGCATATAGTGATGGTTTTGATTACTAAAGGGCTTTTAAAATAGCAGTTTTTCATCCATTTTTATATGTTATTCTTCATACCTTCACTGGATATTCTTGGCATATATGCATCCATACATGTATCCAGACATATATGTCAAACAAATTGTGGGTTTTGTTTTGTTTTGGTGTTCTTTTTTTAACTTACTAACCTATTATGAACATCTTCTGTGTCATTAAGCATTATCCCATCACAGCATTTCCTAGATATTTTCTTTGAAACAAATACCTGACGGCTGTCTAGCTTTTTCAGCACCATTTATTGAAGAGACTGTCCTTTCCTCAATGTATATTCTTGGCTTCTTTGCAGTAAAGTAAGTGACCATAAATGTGTGGGTGTATTTGTGGGCTCACTATTCACTGATCTGTGTGTCTGTTTTTATGCCAGTACCATATCGTTTTGATTACTATAGCATTGTTGTATAGTTTGATATCAAGGAGCATGATACCTCCTTGTTTGTTCTTCTTTCTCAAGGTTGGTTTGGCCATACAGGATCTTTTGTGGCTCCATATAAATTTTTTTTTAAGATTTTATTTATTTATTAATGACAGAGAGAGAGAGAGAGAGGAGAGAGAGAGAGGCAGAGACACAGGCAGAGGGAGAAGCAGGCTCCATGCAGGGAGCCCTATGTGGGACTCAATCCAGGGTCTCCAGGATCACACCCCGGGCCAAAGGTGGCACTAAACCACTGGGCCACCAGGGCTGCCCCCATATAAATTTTTTAATTATTTGGTCTAGTTTTGTGAAAAATGTCATGGGAATTTTGATAGGGATTGCATTGAATCTATAGATTGCTTTGGGTAGTATGGACATCTTAACTATGTTAATTCTTCCAGCCCATGAGCATGAAATATCTTTGCATTTATTTGTGTCCTCTTCAGTTTCTTTCACCAATATCTTTATAGTTTTCAGTGTGCAGACCTTTCACCTCCTGGTTAGATTTATTCCTAGGTATTTTATTTTTGATGCAATTGTAAATGGAATTGTTTTCTTAATTTCTCTTTCAGGTGGCTTGTCATTAGTGTATAAAAATGTGACAGGTTTTTGTATACTCATTTTGTATCCTGCAAGTTTTCTGAATTCATTCATTAGTTCTAATGGTTTTTTTGCAGAGTCTGTAGGGTTTTATGTATGTAGTATCATGTCATCTGCAAATTGTGACAGTTTTACTTCTTCCTAATGTGGATTGTTGTTGTTGTTGTTCTTGCTTAATTGCTTCCAGTTCTGTGTTGAGTAAAAGTGATGAGAGTGGGGAGGCAACTGAGTGGCTCAGTTGGTTAAACATTCAAGTCTTGATTTTGGCTTAGGTCATGATCTCATGGGTGGTGGGATCAAGCCCCGTGATGGGCCCTGTGTTCAGCATGAATCTGCTTGAGATTTTCTGTCTCTGCCCCTTTCCCCACTCTCTCTCTCTCACTCACACACACACACACACACACACACACACACACACACACTGTCTCTCTCTCTCTCTCTCTCAAATAAATAACAACTTTTTATAAAAGTGATGAGAGTGGATGTCATTGTCTTATTCCAATCCTAGAGGAAAAGCTTTCAACTCCTTACCACTGAGTGTGATGTCAGCTGTTGTCTTGTCATATATAGCCTTTATTATGTTGAGGTACATTCCCTCTATATCCATTTTGATGAGAAGTTTTATAGTAAATGGATGCCA